AGTTCCTGGAGACCTTTCTGGCTGGCAAAGGTGGGGGTTGAGCCACAGGATGCCCACCCCGAAGTGCTGGTGGGAAGGACATGCCCTGCTGCCCTGCTTTTCGGTTAATCCCTTGACCATATTCCACAGCGGCCTACGGGTCCTGGTATGACCATGTGCGGGGCTGGTGGGAGAAGAGGAAGGAGAAGAAGATCCTGTACCTCTTCTATGAGGACATGAAGAAGGTGAGGGTGGGATGAGGGGCAAGGTGCCCTGGTTGTCCCCCGCAGCCTTTTTTGGCAGCCACCTCATGTCAACTGCCCTGCAGGACCCACGGCAGGAAGTGAAGAAGATCCTGCAGTTCCTGGGCAAGGAGGTGGTGGAGGGAACAGTGGAGAGGATCCTTCAGAACACCTCCTTCCAGGCAATGAAGAAGAACCCTGCTGCCAACTATGAGACCATGCCCACTGCCCTGATGGACCACAACCTCTCCCCCTTCCTCCGTAAAGGTGGGATTTGGCCAGTGGTGGAGGGCTTGGGAGGAATGTCCCTGCATTGTGTTTCAGCCCCCATCCGTGGCTGCAAATATTTTGTGTGTCTCAAGATTTGCCCCGCTTGCTTTCTTGCCCCTAGGGATCTGTGGAGACTGGAAGAACCACTTCACTGTGGCCCAGAATGAGCGCTTCAACCGGCACTACCAGGAGCACATGGCAGGCACCGACCTCCACTTCCAGATGGAGATGTGAGGGGCTTATCCCCCTTTCCAGGAGGACTCTGCTTCTCCTCTCTCACTGGTTGGGGAGGGTGGGTCCAGATGGAGCATCGTTGCACTGATTTACTTTTCTCCTTGCAATAAATTGTTATAAATGGAGAGTGAGTCATTGCCTTCAGAAAAAGGCAGCGGGGAGGCTGAACCCCCCCCAAATTCCAGGCAGTGTCTGGGAGCACCTCCGTGGTCAGTGGGAGAGAGGGTGGGCACACAGTGGATTTTGAGCTGGTGATGATCAGGCATCACTGGGAATGTGCATCCTCCCCAAACCCCTCATTGGGTGGATCACCTTGGGTGTCCCAGTCCCAGCCTACTAGGGTACCTGGAGGGAGCAAAGACCGGTGAAGAGTGGAAAAACCCCAAAGCACCAGCAAACGTGCTGCTGCCACGGCTTTTGTGTGCACAGGAGCTTTCATGGCTCCAGGTTGTGGCAGGTTTCTTGACAGAGTGGGTGGTGGTGAGGCTCTCCCCAGGCTCCCTGACCCAGCTGGAGTTTGGCAGCCCATGGTCTATGGAACAAAGGTGAAGGGAAACACCTCCCTGCTGGCATATGGCCGGGCTCAGCAACATCACCATCCTTGCTGGATAGGGAAACCACCCTGCAACCCCCAACCTGGTTGCACTGAGCCCTTGCTCTGGGATGGCCAGAGCAAACCACTCCCTGTCCCACTGGGACAAGGATGTGCTTTGGAGTCCCAAGTCCCCCACTTACACTCCATTTCTGGCCTGATCCAGAGTTTCTAAGATTGCAACTTTTTGGCAATACAGCCTCATGGGGTTGTTTTATCCCCAAAGAGAAGCAACTCTGATCTGACTCCTATAGAGCAGCAGTGCTATGAGGGGACTTGACTCACAGGAATGAATCCTTTCTAGACATTTATTTCAATGCCAATGGAGATCTCCGTGCTTCCCCACCTCCTGACTTTGCCTGCAGTGTTTGCACATGCAGCCAATTTTGCTGGCATATGGGCAGATGGACGGGCAGGGATGCATGTACCTGCCTGCAAAACACCTGAATGCCTGGCATGGCATGTCCCACCTTACCTGGAATTTGGACCTGGGACCAAATCAGGGACTTCTATCAAGGCTGAAAACAAGTGAGCTGCTGTCCCTGCCCAGCTGTCATCTTTCCTGCCCTCACCACTCCCTCCTGGCTCGGAGGTTGCCTGTGGGAAGCAGGTAAGGAGCAGCATTTCACCACCACGGGCACTTTAAACACCTTTCCCAGAAGCACTTGTGCTTTGCAATCCTGCAAACTTTGGACCCGTATTTGAGTGGAGTAGGGATATGAGCAAAGCCTGATCCCCACAGCCCACTAGCAAGCCCCACGTCTGTGTCAGGAACTGGGGACGTCCACTCAGGTGACTCCTGGATCAGGACAGGGTGACGTTAAATCCCCCGGGATGTGGGTCGGGATTTCCTCCCTTTGTTTGCCTCTGCGGGTGGACGGGGCAGCTGTGATTTCCACTCCCACCTCCTGTGTGCGTACCGGGGGTTGCTGAGCACGGCACAGCTCATCACAGGCATCTGGGGACAGTCCCCATCTCCGCCTACCTTTTCCCCTGCCCTCCTCCTGCCCCAGCGGTGTCCCCCGCCTCCCTGAGCCTCCATCTTCGACGGAGGGAAGGGAAAATAGCAAATCCCGCCCCGTAAACGGCAGGCAAAGCTTTTCCTCCTCCCTGCCGGACCACCCGGAGAAGAGGTAATGGGGGGACTCTGGTCATGGTCAGGGGGCTTGGCCCATTTTGGGGTGCCCTGGCCTCACAAGCAGAGAGCCTGAGTGGTGGGGTGGGGGGAGAGGTGCGGGGGCTCAGAGGGGCTCAGTGTCCCTGCAAACCCTTGGAAAACAGAAGCAAGTGACCAAGCCTCTCTCCAAAAGTCTCAGCGTGGGTGTTTTGCAGCCACTATATCCAGTGTTTCCATCCTGGCTGGGGGGTGGAAAGGTTTCCTAAAGAGAGAGTTGTGGGAGCCCTGCTCCTCGTTCCTGTCTCCTTCAAACCCTCACTCAGCCCCCTGCAAAAAAGGCTTCCCCAAGCTGCCCTACAGCTGAGAGATGGGGAGGAAAAGACAGAGGGAAAGCAGCCTGAAACACCGGCCAGGAAAGCCCCTGTGAGCTTTTACACCCAAGTAAAAGTACTAGCTTGGTACAGGTAGCTGCCCCATTGCCTGTGATGACGTGAGCCCCCCGGAGCCAGCCATGTCCCTCCACACTCCCTGCACAGCCACCTGGCCCCAAAAATCCCCGGAGAAGACAGGTGCCACCTCCCATGACACCAACAAGCAGGGGACAGTTTCCTTCCTGTGGGCAGGATGGCTGGGTTCAGCAGGCATTTTGGGGACTCCAGGGAAAGAGGGGGCCCCGTGATGCTCCTTGCTGCCGGCCAGCCCTGCCATGTGTCCCTGTCTCCAGCAGGATGGCCAATCCAGACCCCTATCTGCGTCAGCCCTGTCTCACAGTGCATGGCATTCCCATGGTCAACGCCTTTGCCCTCAACTGGGAACGGATTGACAGCTTCCAGAGTCGCCCTGACGACATCATGGTGGTCACCTTCCCCAAGTCTGGTGAGCATCCCCAGGCAACAGAGAGGGGCCACACTTGGGAAAGGGAGGTACCAACCTGCAGATGCTGAGGCTGGGACTGGAGGGGATGTTAAAAGGCAATGCTGGAAGATGGTGGCCCTCGGGTGCCGGAGATGGGGCTCCAGTGGGAGTGGCATCAACTGGACACCCAGCCTCTCCTCGCCAGGCACCACCTGGGTCAGTGAGATTGTGGACATGGTCCTGAAAGGTGCTGACCCTGAAAAATGCAAGCAGGATGACATTCTCAACCGGGTGCCTATGATGGAGTTTGTTGCCCCTGGGAAGATGCCAGCAGGTAATGGGGTGGCAGTGAGTGCTGGATGGGGCATAGGCTTGGTAGGGGGTACACCACTGGCAGTGAGATTGCTCCTGGGGGAAATCCTTGCAGGCACAGACCAGCTGGAGGTCATGGCATCCCCTCGCATCATCAAGACCCACATCCCAGCTGACATCTTGCCCAAAACCTTCTGGGAAAACCGCTGCAAGGTAACAGGGTGGAGTTACCACACCTGGAGGGATCCAGCAGAGATAAGAGGGGTACCTGCCCTGTTGGGACCTTGCAAGTCCCCACATGCCACCGAGCTTTCTGCAGATGATCTATGTGGGGCGCAATGCCAAGGATGTGGCCGTTTCCTACTACCACTTCGACCTTATGAACAAGTTCCAGCCACACCCTGGGACATGGGCCCAGTACCTGGAGGAGTTCATGGCTGGCAGAGGTGAGACAGGACACCTCCGGGGGCATGTGGGGACCCTGTGGGGTGCTGTCACCCACTGCCATCCCCTGGCTGCTCTCCCCGTGCAGTGGCATATGGCTCCTGGTACAACCACGTCAAGGGCTACTGGGAGAGGAGGAAGGATCACCCCATTCTCTACCTCTTCTACGAGGACTTGAAGGAGGTGATGGACTGGGGTGGATGGTGGTGTGGCATCTGGGGGGGTGTCAGGAGGAGTGAACATCGTCCTGTGTCCCACAGGACCTCCGCCGGAGATTGCCAAGGTGGCCCAGTTCCTGGGGCAGGAGCTGTCGGAGACGGCACTGGACACCATCACGAGACACACTTCCTTTGAGGCCATGCGGGACAACCCCACCACCAACTACAGCAAGGTGCCCTCCGACCTCATGGACCACAGCGTGTCCCCCTTCATGCGCAAAGGTGAGCAGCTCTGGGGGGCTGCAGGCGCCCTGTCCCCTCAGCCCCTGCTGAGCCCCAACTCGCCCGGCCACAGGCACCACTGGAGACTGGAAGAACCACTTCACCGTGGCCCAGAACGAGCGCTTCGACCAGGACTACGCGCAGAAGATGTCGGGCACCGACCTGCGCTTCCGCACTCAGATCTGAGGAGACGCTGCCAGACACCTCCCAAATCCACCCCATGCTGGAGGCACTGCTCCCACACCAGGGGCTGCTTCCCCTCCTCTGGGACTGCTGGAGAGAAATAAAATGTGGTTCCTGACCCCTGCATGGGGTGCTCACTACCCTGTGCCTGTGCGGATCCCAACCCTGCCATCTCCCTGGGGCTGCCAAGCCTCTTCTTGTGTTGGAGACAAACGTGTCCCCCCTCAGCTGCTGTGGTGGGGGGATTGCCACCAGCAGCTCATGGGATTGCAGAGAGCTGTGGCAAAAATGCATGTGAGGAAGCTGCCAGCTGGATACAGGTAGCGAGAGGTGGCCTCCCTGTCCTCATGTGGGGAGGCGCCGTCTGGGACCTGGGGGTGGGAGGCAAGATCCATGAGGTTGGAGATGTCCACTGTGGCCCTGCCTGCAGGTCAGTGGCTGCTGGTTTCTCGCTGTGCTTGCTCCTCCCTCCCGGGAGCCGCAGGGCAGGAAAACATTGCTGCCCTCACCGCCCTGCCTCTTTCCTTCTCCTCCCTGTGAAAGCTGCTGCGGGGCCCCGCGTCCCCCTGTCCTCTGCCGTCACCCTCGTGGTGTCACCGTCCCAGCGTCACTCTCCCGGCACAGAGCGGCAGCGTGTTAGGTGAGAGGGGTGTCCTGGGTTGCCCTGTGGGTGCTCTGCCCATGCTCAGCCACACAGAGCTGCATGCTGTGGCGTCCAGGTTGGTGGGTTTGGGGTCCTTTTGGGTGTAATTAGCCACCTTAAACTTCCCCCTGTGGTGAGGTCTGCTGCAATAACCCCTGGGACCCAGTTCCCTGCTCCCCTGTGGTGCTGAGGCAATGGGAGAGGTGTTTGGTCTGGGTGACGCTGGCACCCCGTGTGTACCCCCTGCCCTCGCTGGGTTGCTGTGGATGTGCTCCTTCTCCTGCAGATGGGACCCCTGTCCCCCCAGACGGGCCCCCTGTCCCCGGCAGTGAGTGCAGCGATGGCTGCAGTGACCTCTGGTCTGTATGCCGGTGCTGTCACTGCCGCTCCCAGGGCAGGCACCCTGCCAGTTGCCTGGGCTGCCCTGGCTGGTGCTGCCCTGTCAGGGTGAGGGGGGGCCCCCCTCACCAGTGAGCCTCCCCACACATGTCGCTGTCCCCAGCCGGATGGCCGATCCAGGCCCCTACCTGCGTCAGCCCTGGCCCACAGTGCACGGCATTCCCATGGTCAACGCCTTCACCTACAACTGGGAACGTGTCGACACCTTCCAGAGTCGCCCTGAGGACATTGTGGTGGTCACCTTCCCCAAATCTGGTGAGCATTCCCGAGTCCAGCAGATATTGTGTTACCGTGTGGGTGAGTATGCTGTACGTCTGAGGCCCACTTGTGGGGGAAATGCAGCACATTTGGGGGCTGTCAGGACAGAGCTGTGCAGGATCCCCTTTGCCCCCTCAGCATCTGGCTAAAGTCTGAGGGGTTGTCAGTGATCAGACACCCAGTGCCACCCTGGATGCCCCCTGATGGGTTCCTTTCCCCAGGCACCACCTGGGTCAGCGAGATTGTGGACATGATCCTGCAAGGTGGAGACCCTGAGAAGTGCAAGCGGGACATTATCAGCAAGAGGGTGCCCATGCTGGAGTTCTCTGCCCCTGGGAAGATACCAGCAGGTAGTGGTGTGTGGGGGCTTGACCATGGGCACCCCAACAGGGGCTGAGTCCCGGGGGTCTCTGCCAAAGGCCCAATGAGGAAGTGCTTTGGGATCCCCCAGGGACAGACCTGCTGGCCACCATGCCCTCACCCCGTGTGGTGAAGACCCACCTGCCGGCAGATGTCTTGCCAAAATCCTTCTGGGAAAACCGCTGCAAGGTAACTCCCAGCCCTGGTCTCTGCCCTGAGGGGCATTTAAGTCCCCCTGTTCCCTTGAGACAGGATCCCCCACTGCTCCCTTCAGCACACTAAGTGGGCATGGGAGTTCTGGGAGTAGAGCATCCTCCCTGTTGGGGGTCCTGGGGCTGCTCTCACACCCTGTGACCCATCTGCAGATGATCTATGTGGGGCGCAATGCCAAGGATGTGGCCATTTCCTACTACCACTTCGACCTTATGAACAAGTTACAACCACACCCTGGGACATGGGCCCAGTACCTGGAGGAGTTCATGGCTGGCAGAGGTGAGACAGGACACCTCCGGGGGCATGTGGGGACCCTGTGGGGTGCTGTCACCCACTGCCATCCCCTGGCTGCTCTCCCCATGCAGTGGCATATGGCTCCTGGTACAACCACGTCAAGGGCTACTGGGAGAGGAGGAAGGATCACCCCATTCTCTACCTCTTCTACGAGGACTTGAAGGAGGTGATGGACTGGGGTGGATGGTGGTGTGGCATCTAGGGGGGTGTCAGGAGGAGTGAACATTGGCCTGTGTCCCACAGGACCTCCGCCGGGAGATTGCCAAGGTGGCCCAGTTCCTGGGGCAGGAGCTGTCGGAGACGGCACTGGACACCATCACGAGACACACTTCCTTTGAGGCCATGCGGGACAACCCCACCACCAACTACAGCAAGGTGCCCTCCGACCTCATGGACCACAGCGTGTCCCCCTTCATGCGCAAAGGTGAGCAGCTCTGGGGGGCTGCAGGCGCCCTGTCCCCTCGGCCCCTGCTGAGCCCCACCTCGCCCGGCCGCAGGCACCACCGGAGACTGGAAGAACCACTTCACCGTGGCCCAGAACGAGCGCTTCGACCAGGACTACGCGCAGAAGATGTCGGGCACCGACCTGCGCTTCCGCACTCAGATCTGAGGAGACGCTGCCAGACACCTCCCAAATCCACCCCATGCTGGAGGCACTGCTCCCACACCAGGGGCTGCTTCCCCTCCTCTGGGACTGCTGGAGAGAAATAAAATGTGGTCCCTGACCCCTGCATGGGGTGCTCACTACCCTGTGCCTGTGCGGATCCCAACCCTGCCATCTCCCTGGGGCTGCCAAGCCTCTTCTTGTGTTGGGGGCAAGCAGGTGTCTCCCCTCAGCTGCTGTGGTGGGGGGATTGCCACCAGCAGCTCATGGGATTGCAGAGAGCTGTGGCAAAAATGCATGTGAGGAAGCTGCCAGCTGGATACAGGTAGCGAGAGGTGGCCTCCCTGTCCTCATGTGGGGAGGCGCCGTCTGGGACCTGGAGGTTGGAGATGTCCACTGTGGCCCTGCCTGCAGGTCACTGGCTGCTGGCTTCTCACTGTGTTTGCTCCTCCCTCCCAGCAGCCACAGCGCTGGCAAACATTACTGCCCTTGCTACCCTGCCTCTCCCTGTTAAAACCACTGCCGTCACCCTCGTGGTGTCACCATCCCACCGTCACTCTCCCGGTGCAGAGCGGCAGCGTGTTAGGTGAGAGGGGTGTCCTGGGTTGCCCTGCGGGTGCTCTGCCCATGCTCAGCCATACAGAGCTGTGTGCTGTGGGGTCCAGGTTGTTGGGTTTGGGGTACTTTTGGGTGTAATTAGCCACCTTAAACCTTCCCCTATGGTGAGGTCTGCTGCAATAACCCCTGGGACCCAGTTCCCTGCTCCCCTGTGGTGCTGAGGCAATGGGAGAGGTGTTTGGTCTGGGTGATGCTGGCACCCCATGGGTATCCCCTGCCCTCCCTGGAGCACTAAGTGTGCTCCTATCCCCCCAAATGGGATCCCTGACCCCAACAATGGGTGCAGCAATGCCTGTGGTGACCTCTGGTCTTTGCGGAGGTTCTATCACTGCTGCTCTCTGGGCAGGCTCTGTGCCATGTGCCCGGGCTGCCCTGGACATGATAGACTGCATGTTCTTTGCCCAGCTCTTTCATGCCCCATCAGCAAACTAACTGGCTACTATAAATCATTGGCAAGCTGACTTGTCACGGGAAAGGCTTGCCATGGGCGCATGAACAGCAAACATGCATGAAAAAGGTAGAGGAGAGAGAGCAACTCTTCCTCTGTGGGCTGATGAGCTGTTAGATGAGTCCCATCATGTCTATACCCTCAGGGTTTGCAAACTTGCCCATCACCATAGAATAGAGCTTTCCCTGGGGGATCAGATACATTCTGGCAAGACAGTGTACCATATCTGCAGGTAGCTTTGGCAAGTCTCTGCTGCTGCTCTTCACTGTAGGGCTGACAAGGACAGCTGCAGCACCTATTCTCCACCACCAATGCACAATTCCTAGCAGGGACATAAAGCTCGGCACAAACCTTCTCTGATTTCTTTATTGTTCTGGCTTGCAGAGTGGAAATGGCTCCACTGTGAACCACCCTGGTGCCTGCATGTTTACATGCCAAGGTGTCCCTGCAGCATTGCAGCAGCAAAGACAGTTCATAAAATCTTAAACTGAATCAAAAAATCCAAGTGAAATACTATAAGCCTAGCCCCTGGTATTTTCATTCTGTAGCTGCAGGGTAGAGCTATAAAGATACCATTTGTCTGAGAAAGATGGCCATGGTGAGGCTATTTCAGCTCATTACCTTCATCTGGAGTTTCCCTATACCCTAGGGATTACATGGAAATGGATGTGTTACTGAGCACGTACACACGTGGCTCTGCAGAATTGCTCAATCCACTCACTTCTGCTTGTAGTTAGGGATGAGCCAGCTTTGAATTTTTCCCAATGGAGCCTCCTCCCCTTCCTCCTGCCTCCTCCCCTCCACCGAAAAAAAGATAGCCAAGACAAAATTTTAAGTCTGCTTTCAGACCAGTAGCTGCTTTATTGCATTAAGTGAAAGGGAAACCAGAGAGTCATTTGGTGCTTCTTCAGGGCAAAAGCTTCCCTTTCCCACCCTGTCCCTGACTTTTTGAGGTGCTGGCTAAAGGTGCCATGCACACCATAACCCCCAGCCAGCCAGCACAATGGTGAAGGGAACGGTAAGAAACCACTACTTTGCGGTTGCCTAACTTTTGCTTAAGGGCCTTAGCCTTGAAAAGCCTGTTGTTATTTAACAAGGCTGGGGGTTGCATCACTGTCTGCAGCACTTCTACTTAGTAATGTTAGATGTGTGAAATACAGGCACTTAACCTGTATTTATTCTGCCCCACTTCTCTCTTCATGTGCTGGATTTTGTCCTTTAATCCTCTCAAAATGCTTATCTTCCCTGATCTGAGTAATCTGAGTATCATCTTTAAAAGCTGGCCGTGGAAACAAGACAAGTTTAACCCTCTGGTTCCCCTAGCAATAGCTCTCATTTGCTATGGAGGAATTCCTTACTAAGGGATTGGAAACAAAACCCTAGTTACTGTCCGAGAACTGATCACAGCACCAAACCTGACAGAGCTCAAGAAGTGTTTGGACAATACCCTCAGGCACATGGTGTGACTCTTGGGGTTGTCCTTGTGGGTCTTTTCCACCTCAGATATTCTAAGATTCTATGATCTGCTCTAGCCCACATAAACATGGCCTTTCCATAGTTGCTGGAAAAGCTGTAAATTTCTTACAGGACTTTACAAAATAAGCTAAATTAGCCTGAAAAAAAAAAAAATTATCCTGCATACAAAGGTCTGTGGAGAGACTGTAGTGAAATTCCTGGCTGTAAGTCCAACCTACTGTTGAAACATGGTGGCAAAACTGCCCTGGATTTTGAGGGTTTAGAAAAAGCCTTGTTGAATATTATGGATAATATTTAAAGACCTTGAAGATGCACCTTTAGATTCCTATATCTTCAGGTTATTAGAAACTTGGATAGATCTCCAGAATCAAGGGCCACACAGCCAGTACAGGTAACATACCGACTTTCAAAAACCTCTGCAAACAAACTACAAGATTCTCTCCTTGTTCCTGTTGACAGTTTATAAACAAATCTATTACCTAACAAACAATTTTGTTTAGCCACCTTAGATCCTATGGGGAGTAAAAAAATCTTTTTAGCAGTCAGGCATCATATTTCTGAGCTACAGTATGCCAAGTCCTCTTGAGAATCTGGCTCTGTAATAACATTATAATACACGCTAGCATGGGGAAGACCATCTCAACTATTACATTCCCAGATCATAACAAAGCAATAACTAAACACAGAACACGTGCTTTGTTGACATTATCCCATATTTTATTACTTCCTCCTTGTGAAAAGTTCAGTTCAGAGGGTAACTTACTTAAGCTCCTTCTGCCTGATAACCAATCCCACTGGAGCGGCCCAGGCACAGAGGAGGGGAGCAGCAAGGAACAGAGGCAAACTGGCATAGCAGATTGCACCTTGCAACTCAGAGCACGATACTTATGTACCTTGGAAGACTACGCTAGGTAAGAGTTTTTTGCTGCATGGCATTCGTTCCCCAAATTGTGTTGGTTGGAGCGTATCATTATCTGTGTGGGTTTTAGTTGTAATTCTGGCTCCTGGTGGTGAAGACCTCCTTGCAGGGTGTAGTGCTTACATTCAAAGGACACCTTTCCAAGTAAGAGCCATCCTGGAAGATGTAGGTTTTGCTCTGAGAAGCACCTTGAGGGGCCAGACCCATGTTTGGACACCTGAACTGAGCCAACAACACAGCCAGGTTGGTGGTGATGTGCCCCAGTCACTCCCTGCGAGAGTTGTCTGGGAGAAATTGGAAGCCACCCATCACCAACTGGAAGCCACCCATCACCTATCAGAACAATCTGCATTTATTATTGGCATTATCATCAACCAAATTAATGATTTGTTGCCTTCTTTCAGTATGGGAAATACTAGCACTTCCAGCATCTCACTGTGAAAAAGGATGCCACTTCCAAGCTAGCCCTGTGGTGTCTCCTTCCTTGTCCTGCCTCTGGCATTGCTAGTTTATGGAAACAACGCAAGGGATTTGTTTGAGCCTCAGAGCTGGCATTCAGGGGACTGGCTCCTTTCACAGCAGTGAGGATTGCTGCCACCCTGCTAACCAGGGAAAGGAGCTCCCTCAAGGGGAAACTAACTGGGTAGAATGCATAAAGGGAAAAGTGAATCACCAAATATCTTTTTCTGTCTTTCCAGATCTGAGACCAAACGTGGGCTATAAAGGCCCCACCTGTGTGACAGCAAACTCTTGCTTTTGCTAAGAGTGCTAGTAAGGAATCATCAAACACAACACAGAGGTGCAGCACTCCTAACTGGAAGGGAAAATTCCCAGGCTATCTAACCCTTAACTCTGCCATGGCCACAAAAACCACCGGCTCAAAGAAATACCTCCAGCTGCTCCTTCTTCAGGTTGCTCTTCTAGGCCCTGTTTTCTGTGGGAAGGTCTTGGTCTGGCCAACGGAAGGCAGCCACTGGCTGAACATGAATGTAATTATACAGGAGCTCATCCACCGTGGGCACAGCATTACCATCCTGGTATCCAACGCTACCCTCTTCATTGAACCCAAGGCTAAGGCTGGGGAGACGTTTGAGTTCTATTACGTACCCTATGAGAAAGATTTCCCTCAGAGCCTGATTAACGGAATAGTGGCACTGTGGCTCGATAACAGGCCGACCATGTTCACCTTCTGGCAATTCTACAGGGAGCTGGGAAGATTGTCCGTAGACTGGCAGAAGATGAACAAGCTGATGTGCGACTCAGTGCTAACCAACCGAGAGCTGATGGCTCGCCTGCGGGGGGCTGGCTATGACATGCTGTTGTCAGACCCGGTGACCCCCTGCGGGGAACTCATTGCCCTCAAGCTGGACATCCCCTTTGTCTACTCCCTACGCTTCTCTCCAGCCTTCACTCTAGAGAGGCACTGTGGCAAGGTCCCAACCCCACCGTCCTACACGCCTGCAGCCCTGTCTGAGCTCACTGACCACATGTCCTTTGCTGAGAGAATAAAAAACTTTGTGTCTTACCATCTGCAAGACTATGTTTTCCAGTCCTACTGGGGACATTGGGATATCTACTACAGCAAGATCTTAGGTAAGTCTTCTGATACTTCACTTCTCATTATATGGCCTCCACCCTTATGACCTGCAGAGCTAGGAACC